GCTGCCATAAACCGCTTGTGTTTTACATAAATGTTTTTTTTATTCTATGTTTTCTTCAACAAAAGAAGTTACACTTTTTTCAATATATGCAACTTTTTTTAAGTTTAATTTAGAATTTAGGAAATTACTTTCAAGCATTTGTGAATCTGTGAATTTGTTGCACCATATATATTTTCCAGCATTTTTTTTTTTTGTCATTACACTGACACAAGAACAGAGCAATGAACTCTGTGCATTTATCCCATCCCCTTGGGGAGCAGTGGGCTGCCATTGTGCGGTAGCACTGTGGGGTTAAGCATCTTGCTCAGAGAGCCTCAAAACCTCAGGATTCCAAGCTCTATGCCCTAACCACTAGGCCACCACATCTCAAAGCAGCCATTGGCGTGGAGGGTCTTGCCTAAGGACACACACTGGCAGCTCATTCCCCACAGCTGGGATACAAACCCAGGCTTTTTGATTGAAGGACGGGCGACTGATAAATTACAACTTGAGCCAGACCCTGTTTATATATATATATATATATATATATATATATATATATATATATATATATATATATATATATATATATACATACTGTATATATATATATATATATACTGTATATATATATATATATATATATATATATATATATATATATATATATATATATATATATATATATATACAGTATTTCTGCTACAGTATTTCTTTTACTCTGTAACATTTGTGTTTTTGTTGTCTCAACAGGAAATTCTAAAATATTTTCAGAACAAAAAAAGTTTTTTCCATCACATAATAAATACTTTTCAAATAAAAACACCTCATGCCACAACTCTTTTAGTAGCAGTCTTCTCCAAACATGTGTTACACCAGACATCTTAGCGTAAGCATTCATTAGTTGTTTTTGGCCTCCAGGCATTTTCCACTTGTTTCCCAAAAGCTGGATCGCATTATGCCACAGAAAATTCCTGAGCTAGAAATTCAGAGACCTGTTCTGATAAAAGATTACTCCACCTATTTTGTATTATTGCTGTTTTTCCTAGCATCTTGGATGGAGTTCAGACATTTATTTTGGAATGTGAAGATGAGGAACGAGTAAGGTTTCTGTGTGTGCATGTGTATTGATGAGGTTCTCCTTGGCTGCTAATTCACTTCATCATTAACTGCTCCTATTTTAGATGTTCCCCAGCAACAATAAGCTGTTTTAACATTTTATGAAAAACATAGAACAAGAAAATGAAGGTCATAAAACAATAAATACAATATATAAAAAATAAATGCAAAACATAAGACGCTGAGGGAAAAGAGAACAAATCCAATATACTATCTGAACTTTTCATGAATTTCTGATTTGTAAATAAACAAACTTGAGCAGAGGAAATTTCTGGGGGAAATTCTATTTGTGAAAAAAGTAGTAACTTGCCCTCTTGCCGATTTCTTCAGTTTGTTCCACACTTAGATGTTTCCGATTATTAGGCAAACTGTGATGTATCTCAAGAATGACTTACAGGAAATGCAATATCCAATTCCTAATTATATCAACCATTAAGAGACATCAGCAATACAACCCAAGCAAGTCCACAATAATTTTTTCAAGTATTGTAATTTCTGTAATTTAATGATATACAGATTATCTGCCTTTGCCTTTACTTCGTGCACACCTGTGTAGATTTTTTTCTTTAATAATATTATTCCATTCATGTGATTTTTGAAGATCCAAGCATATTTGCATGCACACAGAATATCTCTCCACTTTCTGGGATTGTACCATTTTTGCATGTAACTCTGCATCTGACTCTCAGGAGTATAAAGAAACAGGATAAAACTGCTGCCTCCATTGTGGTCAGATTTAGAAAATTGCTTTGCACATGCATAACTTCTAATCGTTAATTTGTGTAGTTTCGTCATTTGAATAAAATCAGCATATTGATGGAGACACACATGCACAATGTTTGCATACGCTGGCTGCAAAATTACAAACATAGATCACTTTGCACCTTCGTTGAGGATCTGCTCTGAGAGTAAAAACATTTTTGCACCTATTGTAAGGAAAACAAAATTACTTAAGAACAGGCCCTTGGAGTGTCCCCCACTGGACACCACAAAAGACATGGTCAAATGTCTTCTCCAGGTCCAAGAAACACATGTGCAGTGGTTGGTAAACTCCAATGAGGCCTTGAGTACCCTATAGATGGTTTAGAGCTGGTTCACTGTTCCACTACCAGGATAAAAAACACATTGTTCTGCCTGAAGGTAGCATTAGAGCCAGCTAATTGTCTAATCTTAGCTAGGGTGAAGGTTGGACAATCAGCTGGACTCTCATCTCCAGCACCCTAGCATTGGCCTTCCCAGGAGGGCTAAGAAGTGTGATCCCTTGTAGTTGGAACACACTCTCCAGTCCAGTTGTTGTGGAGACGGACCACTTCATTTCCTTGTCCAGGAAAATCGTCCCTGATTGCCAAGTAATGTTGAAGAGGAATGTCAACCATACCAGCCTAACATCATCCAAGGATCTAAGGTACTCAGGAGGACAGATCTCATTCATCCCTGGAGCCTTTATACCAGGCATCCCCAAAGTCGGTCCTCGAGGGCCGCTGTCCTACAGGTTTTAGAGGTTTCCTTGCTCCAGCACAGCTGATTTTAATGGAAAACTCATTAACAGGCTTTTGCTCAACTGTTTTCATCATAATCAGCTGTACTAAAGCAGGGAAACCTCTAAAACTTGCAGGACAGCGTCCCTCAAGGACCGCCTTTGGGGATGCCTGCTTTATACCATGGAGTTTGTTGACTGCCTCGGTGAACCAGCAAAGGTGATTAACAAGTCAAACTGTGAGAACCCAGTCTATGCTTCCTCCAGGGAAGGTGTGTCAGCCGGTTTGAGGAGATCCCCTACATGTGTATGTCCCATACACATGTATGTGTCAAACTCACATCTACACTAAATCTATGAAAAATAAAAATAAATAAATAAATACATTTCTGTAACTGCTTAAGGCAGCTAAGTTGTCCTGGCAGGTACTATGTAGGACATCTTCCATACTCCTCAGAATTGCATCAACTGCTGATACTGACTCCTCTAACCTACACTGCTCTCTGTCATCCATGTTTACACCTACTTCCTCAGAAGGAAACGCTTTCAAAAACCTAGACATGAGTGGGAAGAAGCAAACCTCTGACTGTCAGTGGGGATGAAGACGAGGAAAATTACAAAAGATGTCGGGCTCTCAGTGAGTGTTTACAGTGATTGACCATTTGTGGCTCAGGATTCAGCCGGATAGAAACACACACGAACCCATAAGAACGCATAACCTCAAACATCAGTCCTTCATACCCTGACTGTCTCCTGAGAAATATATGGTAGGAATTATTATATTTTATTGTGGTTCTGTTAAATGCCTAAATGGTTTTAATAATAATTCCTTTATTTATTCTGTAAATTACAGTAGATAATAAAGGAAATTATCTAAAGAGCAAATAATGCTGAGAATAAAATATACATACAAATATTGAGGGGCACGTAGGCCTCTTAGTTGGAGCAGTGCACTTGTGCTCTGATAGGGTTGCTATTACCCGGTTCGATCCCCACAGCCTCCACTCTGGGTCTCTGAGCAAGACCCTTAACCCCACACTGCCCCACATAGTGAGAGCCCACTGCTCCCCAATGGGATGAGTTAAATAGAGAGGTAAATTTCTCCAGTGTGAGATGAATTAAGTTAAATTTTTTTTATTATTATAATTATATACATACAACTAATATTGCTTATATTAGGCATTTTGGTGTTTTAAATTTTTTTCAACTTTTAAATATAACGCTAGTTAACTTTTAACTATTGCAGTGCAGGTGCATTGTGCCTGATGTGGGCCAAGTGGATCAATGGAGGGATTCAGCACGAGGGAAGTTTGGTTGGATACTGAAGTTGTATCTGTATAATGTTTCTGAATTTTACAATCCAAACAAGAAATATCAGGCACTAGACAGAAAAATAACAAAACAAAAATACACAACAAAAACACAAGAGTTATTGGAGTTTGAAATGGTATATTTATGAGCATGGATAATGAGTTTTGCCTGACAGAGTGTGAACCCACCTTAACTACTTTTCTCTCGAGTGGCACCCTCAACCTAGGGAGTGTTACAATCTTGGTCTGGCTCTGGTAAAACGAATTAAAAAGTAAGTTGATATCAGACACATATTTGTATTCTTCAAAGATTAAGAGAAATATACTAAAAACGTTCTTTGATGTCCATTGTTCTGGTCACAGGCTGGTGTGGAGGAATTTCAGAATGAAGTTGTGTGTCTATCCTTCCATGTCTCTTTCCCCCACTTCCTCTCCTAATCCTTTTTTTACTGCCTGTCCAGAGATAGATGCTCTAAAAGGCAGGATAAGAGAACATGAGGCCCGGAAGCCTGTGGTGTTAATGTTCCCTGCACAGTCTTTTCATCTGCCATCAAGACAGCTGTCATTGATTAGTGCATTTGTAAATGATTGCTGAAGGAAGGGGCAGTCAGATGCAGGCCATATATCTCCTTCTTCCCTTAAACATGCTCAGACCCTCATGCACAAACCTATTTGCAGTGGGACTCCAGATAATCATGACAAAGCTGATTTTATATTTACTTTGTTTATTTTAAGAAGGTGCTTTCCTGTAGCTGATATCTATCAATCCTGCAATCAGAAATTGTTGCCGCTCCCATAGCAATAGCATGATATTAGGAAATGATGTCAGTATCTGCCAGTCCCACCAGAGAAGCTGCCTCCCTGAGATTTTGTTGTGGTTTTTTCCCCTGTTTGTTTGGGAATAAATCATTAGCAGAATGGTTCCCACATGGAGGATCTGGCCAAGCATTAATGGCAGCTATTTGTCCCTCCCAACCTCAGAGTAAGCCAGATAAGATTGAGACCTACCATGACCTGAATGCTTGCCAGGATTTCTCAGGACATGTGCTGATACTTTGCTGTTTTTCCTGTGCCCTTTGTTTGAGAAGGAATAAAGCTCCACACATGACGGAACGAAGGAGAATGGTAGTTTTATTTAATGATAGAGATCCTAAAAAAAGTAGAATGCAGAAGATTGCTGGTGTTTTTTTCCAGTTAAATATCTCACAAAAATAAATAAGTCATCAAAATTCAGCCAAAACGCAGTGGTTAACTAACAAACAATTACTTTATATGTGCTTTCATAATATGTCATGCTGTCAGGATAATCAGGATAGTCACGATATTACCTAAACCTTTCCCATTTTCTGCCAGTCAAATGTCTCTGCTTCTTTTGAAAATTTAGATGATAGATAACACATTTAGATACATCTAGCTTGGGTAGCATCTTCTGTATTGTCCACATTATACCTGTACTCCAGCTTCAAACTGTTTGGCACAGTAAAAAAATATAGATTACCTCTGCTTTTGGTGCCGCGCAAAACTCAGCACCTTTCATCAAAAGGAAATAAGCTCAACCAATTCAGAGTTCATTTCATGTAACAGTGTTAGTGCCTTTTTCTTTCCCAAATGTGAGATTTTTCAATGCATGTCTTAATGTCATGGCTGCCAGGTATTGAAAACCTCCTGTGTCCAGTGCTCTAGATAGCTGCTTCCAATCCAGTTGGGCTTCTTGATTCACACCATAATTGGGAGGAAGTGGGTTGCCGTTTTCTTCCTGCGGGTTTTCATCCCCTTCAGCGGCTTCCCTTGAACATTCAGCCCCACGAACATTTGCCGCTTCTTGTTCTTCCACTTAGCCGAAGCGTACGTGTTGTAGCCGTTCTCCTCGATGCGCTCCTTCAGCTTGCAGTCAACACTAAACACTCTCTGTGAAAAAACAACAAACATATTTTTGTATGAAACATGTGCGCTTATTTTGCAGTGAGTATCAGCTTGTGTAATGTATTTTTTTTCTTATGTAATAGAATTCTCCTTAGCGGGTGTGTTTTCTAAGTGAAGTTCTGTATTTTATGTATTAGTGGTATTTACATTCTGAAGGAAAATGTCACATTTCAATCAGTATACAAATAGCTGTCAAAGACTAAAAACTAAAAGACTGCATATTTTAGCTCATTTGATCGATAAGGACAACAGAAGATGCTCCTATCCATGGGATACTTAACATACAATAGATAATGACAGTCTAAACCTGCGTTTGTCAACCCTGGTCCTCAAGGTGCACTGCCCTGCCTATTTTAGATGTGGCTCTGCTTTAACAGTCCCAAATCAGATCATTGCAGTTTAGCAAAGCCTGTTAATGTGCTATCAATTGATGTCAGGTGTGTGAAAGATGGGAAACATCCAAGACACAGAGGGCAGTGTCTCTTAAGGGAACCAGGTTTTAGAAAACACTGATCTACACCTTTACAAGGGACTGTTATGTCTGATGTTTTTGTTGTTTTCTCAGCCAAACATCAATAGTACTACAGAAAATCAGTATTACAAATAACTACATGTTGGCTTAAAACTTATGTTTCTAAATGGTGTTATTATTTAATTTGCGGAAATAGTGTGTATAACATTTAGATGTAAAGTTATATTTCAATTTCCAACATGCTTCTTCTCACTGGTTCTTTCTCAGTGGCCAAATCAGGATCCTGACTTAAAGGTAAAATGGAGGATGTTCTTTTTCCAGGTGGATCATCAAAACTGGTGGTCCTCCTAATTTTCAATCATTCTGGTGATATGTTTACGTAAGGTCGTCCTACGTGCTCGTCCCCATTTCCACTTACCGGTGGAGTCTGACATAGTGAAAAATTGCAAATCTTTTAAAAAAGTAAGCTCGTATGAGCGATGCAAACAGCAACTTTTAAACAGAGCTCACACATGATTAATACACTTTTTCTCTCCGGGACGGGTACAGGGTTGTGCATGCACATTTAATTTTTTTTAAAGTGGAGAGGGTGGGTATTTTCAAAAATTCGTGAAATCCTCCACTATACCTTTAAGTTCCTGAGTTCAAAAGTAATTTGCAGTCTGGACAGAAAGAGGAGAAACTCCATTCTGATTTCAGCTAGGAGAGATTGCTGCACAAGGACAGTTGTCTGGTTCAGCCAGTAGCACGACCAACTGCTCATGAGGACCAGTAACAATAATACACACTTTCATGTCATCTCTAAAAGTCTCCTATAACACCAGAAATAAAATCCAGATTAATTGCTGTAAACATCTTTGGAGATTTTTTTTTTAAAGATGGCAACACCAAAGTAAAAAAAAAAACAACAACCTGCAGTAACATAGGACTCTTTTCTGTATAGAAGTAATTGCTGTGGGAGAAAGACTTCAAGCCGAAAAATTAAAGGACATTCGAAGCTTATATAAAGGGAATAGCATATTGTAAAGTTTCTGCAAGTTGGCTTTTAATTCAAGTTACATCCGGGAGTTACACATCAAGCTAAACTTATTACAGAGGATTCATTATTTTGTTCTCCCAAGGAATTTAGACAACCTTCTTAACTCTGGTTCTCACTAGTTGAGGGTAGATATACAAGAAATTCTGTTAGTAATGCTAAAACTGCTACCATTACATGCTATATCCTCTCTATCACCAGTTAGTCCCAATAATTTCCTTTTGTCCAAAAATAGGCAGTTCTCAATAGGTTATTTATGACCAGCCTGCTTAAGGCTATTGGTTACCTAAGATAAATCAGAAGATTTACCAGTATTTAAGAATGCCAGTTAACCTGGGCTTCATCAGAGGAAGAGAAACCAATGAAATAGGTGTCTATGGGTTGAAGCTTCACAAAACTAGCCATCAGAAATTGTGTATAAAATCTCTGATTGATTAATCCTAACCAATTGCTTGAGCTTTTTCTTAGGAACATAGCTCTGCTTAGAAAACAGAAATTATTTTAACAGCTTTATTGAGTGTGCTGATTCTAGTAATCAAACATGCTCAATTTGTTTTCCACTGCAAAAATCAGCTGAAATGAAATTTCAGTTCACCAACTTTTGACAAGTGCCTAGTGATTTTTTTTTTTACTTTCTATAAACTCATCAACGTGACATCTTTCTACTATTCATAAGGGACCCATTAATGGCGATAACCATTCAAGACCTCACTTTAAAATAACAACACTACCTCGTTAATGGACTTTGTGGGGTTTGGGCCATTTTTTGACAAGTTGTGCAAATAACCACAAAAAAAGAGTAAACCAGATTTACTAGATTGTAGTAATTCGGTCTTTTGCTACTATGAATTATCCAAGGGAGGCTGTATCATCTATATATGGGCTTCAAAAAATACACAAGAAAAGGATTCTACACAGCGCTGTTGTCAGTAGCATTAACTCAGTTACACACAGCATTGCAAAACATCTTGCAACAATTTTGGCTCCATTGATTGGAAACACTCCACACCACATACAAAACTCCACAGGCTTTATTTCCAAAGTCAGGCTTTTGAGCTCAATTTGAAACCATTGTTTCTTTTAATGTAACCTTTCTCTTCACCTGCATTCCCACATCAGAGGTACTGAACAAAGTCAGGACACAAGTGGAACATGATGAAAACCTGAAAGACAGGACCACTTTAACACCTAACCAGACTTGCTACCTGTGGGATCTCTGCCTATGGACTACATATTTCAAATAAAGTGACAACATTTATAGACAGAAGCTTCCAATATCTATATGGAGAGATATTGAATGGAACAAAGCTTGCTCACTGGTTCCGATATGTGGATGACACTTCAGTCCAAATCCAAACCCCGGAAGTTGTGGTACATCAACTCAGTGGACAGAAACATCAAGTTTACTAGAGAGGATGTCAAGAATAACATGTTGACCCATTCTTGACTGTGCTGGGTACACTGAGAACAAAAAGGGTCTTAATACTGAGGTTTACTGAAAACTCAGTTCCACAGACCAATATCTGCAGTTCGACTCACATCACTCACTGGAACATAAATTTTCTGTTACCATAACTCTTTATTACCAAGCGGAAACTATTTCCTCAGTTAAAAAAAAAATGCAAAAAACACAGGAAATTCCTTGAACAGGTGGGGATTTGTTAAGTAAGCAAAAAAGAAAACTAGCTGGAAGAAAAACATGGTATGTTACAAAGAGGAGAAAACGAAAAAAATGCAGAAAAATTGGTAATTACATATATGTCAGGGATTTCTGAGAAACACAACATACAGATGGATTTAAAACCCAACCATTCACTCAGGCAAAAGCTGTCTAAAGACAGAACACCCAACCCAAAGCTGAGTGTCGTTGTTTATGCAATCCAGCGCACTGAGGAGTGTTCAGACTCCGATACCGGAGAAACCAAACAGCAGATGCCTGGCACAGCATAAGAGAGTCAGTAGCTCTGGGTAAGAATTATCTGTACCTCTTTACCTCATAAACAAAGTTAACAATTTTGACATCCAAGATATTCAGATATTGGACAGAGAGCACAGATGGTTTGAAAGAAGGCTGAAGAAACCCATTTTTGTGAAAAGGGAAACACCATCACTGAACAGAGGGGAAAGATTGTGGTTTCAGCTTCCAGGCATTTACAATTCAGTCATGGAACGTATTCCAAAGAAATTTCTTAAGCACTCCAATAATCATTCAGTTGTGCATGTACAACCAAATACCCAACAGGTTGATCCTTAATTTGCATTTGACTTGAAATATGCTTAGGGGGAAGGACCTCTGTGCTGCATTAATACACCGGCACTTAAGTGATTGCTCACCACCACATTTAAAACAAGACTCTTGGATAGCTGTGGAAACATCTTCAGAAAAAAGAGCAAGTTCTTTCCAATTTAAGCCTGTTTTGTAGTTGTCATGACCCAGACGATTGAGAATTTCCACAGCCTGATGTGCAAAGAAGTGCATATGTCTCCTGGAGGTTTGCATGTGTTCACAAGCCTAGTTGTGAATATGAACAAACTGGCTGGGAAATAAATATAAATTTGCCTGCAATAAAATACTAGCAATCTAACACTATCTTAATTTGGGAGGCATTCAGATTAACCTTGACTTGGATACGTACCGCTCCATACAGCTTTCCATCCCTGCTGATGGCCAGATAATAGTTGCTGTGCAGCCCTTTAATGGCCACCACTCCCACTTCCACTGATGTGATTTCAAAAATACCTAGGAGTTAGAAAAACAAGGTTACATCACAATATGTTGACTATATGAATGAACAAAAGATCCCCCTGTATGCAGAAAAACTAAATGAAGAATATTTCATTCCCTAAACCATTTAAATATTAGATAAAATTCAAATCCACACCGATACATCTTATTCCAATATCTGTGACAGTGATGCTTAATTTTCTTTTGGTCAGTACCATAAGAGGGTTGGTAGTGTTTTAAGATGCAAAGTTTTAAAATATATCCACAAGCAGACATGTTAATATCTTGATACATTTTTATTCAGCAGAAGTCATTTCCATCTCTACACAGAAAAATCAAATGCTAGATTTCCAGTGTTGGTGCTGTATTTTGACAGCGCAGTGTTAATTTAAGTGTGTTTAGTCTAATTCAACTATGCCAGCATTAGTTTCACCAGAGAGTTGGTGTTGAGCCAGGAAGTACAATTAAAGCAACTCTTGTTATGTTCATGTCAACATAAGTTGCCACAATAAACGGCAGACTGGACTAAAAATGTGTTATGTAAACATGTCATGTTTGAATATTCTAAACAGATTAGGCAGGATTTGAATAAAACTGTTTTCAGACTAAAATGGCTTATTCCTGTTCACAATATCATCTGCATGCATTCAAACGCTTGTTTGGATCAAGTTATTTTAAGCTGACCAGAATATGCATGTGCACCCCACACGAACACAGGGTCTTCTCAATTTGAATGGCTAGAGGTTAGTCAAAATACTCTGAATGGCACACTTGCATGACATATTTTCAGTCTAATTGGCCCTTTTATTCTGATTACTTATGTCTATAAACAATGTGAAATTATGTTTTTTTTGTTTCAGAGCTCGGTTGATATTATTCTGACTTTAAAATGTGCATCTGACAGCAGCAGATTAAATATTTTGTTGAGTGATGTTTTCGGCTTTACACGGCAAAATGCTAAGCTAAGCTAAGAAAGGTTGGGTTGGGACAGGTTTAAGCTCATGTTTCCCCTTTGATAAACTGCTAGAAGTTGGACAAGCTCTTTGAGCCGGGTGAGCTAAGTAGATCTCACATCTTATTCTTGCAAAAACGCAACAGACCCTTTTACATACACAGCCAAGGTAGCATGTACATTCCCCCGGTGCAGTACTTGCATTCAACAATAGCAGACTCTGAGTTGTGGTGTAGGGTGCAGAGGTTTGTTCTGCCTACAGAGGCATGTTGATTTTAAGCTTCAGCATCATCTTTCTCATTAGTTGTGTCCTTTACCAACATTCCCTAATGATAGTGGTACCTGTGCACAACTGCCTTGCCTCTGTCTTGTGCTCGAGCACATTATTATTATTTTAACTATTATTTAATTCAAAGATCCCAATAGTTCACTACATTTTCAGACTTGCAGCTGGATAAATTAGTAAGATGACAAAGACTTTCTTAAGCTGCATTGTTTCCTCATCTTCATGTTAGTGATTTTACAATTTGTTTTTAAATAAATAGCTAAATAAAAGTGTGAAAAAGGTAACACATTCTTTATAAAGCTAATTACATAATCAATAAAAGATTAAACATTAGTACAATAATACATCTTACAAGAAGTATTTGAATCAGAATAGCTGTAAGAAGAAAGTTCTCAAATAAAATATAAATAAAAGTATATTTTTATAATAGTATATTTTATAATAGTATATTTGGCTCTTTAAAATTTGAGAAATTCAGGTGTTCAAAGTAAAGGGCATTTTTTTTATTTTGTTGTCTAGATACCCACACATAACAAAATCAAAATAAAGCAAAAATAAGAATTAGACCATACAGTAATAGAAAACTTAAAACATGAGAAAAATAAACTGATGAGATAGTTAGGTCATACTAAGATTAATATATGTGTGCTGCTGTCTAGAAGTCAAGCAACAACTGGACATTTGTAATGATTGCAAATGATGATTACAATCAACATATTTTAGATTATTTTTAAGCAAAAACACATACCTATACTTCTTTTAAGTCCGGTTTGCTGAATAAAACGGCACAATAAAATGTTTATTTTCATGTTATCTTAAAAAACAAAATGTAATTAAATGTACAGAAGTGGGGTTTCTGTTATCTTAGTAGTCTTAGTTAATGAGCTTAAATGGTTTAATGCAATCGGTTTCTTAAAATTATTCTATTTCAACTTACTTGTCAAGGGTTATAAACTACTCAGCCTGGAGAGGCCCAAGAATTCATAACTAGTAGAAACCAGTTCTGACCTTTCCTGTTAAAAGAATCAGTGTTGTGTCTCCAATTTGGTTTATTGTTCAGGTGAACACCTACTTATGAGAGTCCATTTTCTCTATTTCAGTTCCCTGAATGATCACCAATGTGAGTTCAGCCCCACTAAACTTCCATTGGGCTGTGCCTGCATAAATCCACAATCCACGGGTTTTCCTCAAGTTGATCAGGAGACTTTTGGTTGGTATTTATGTGCAGTCTCGAGTTCAACATCTGTACTTTTGTTATGTCCTCAGCACTGATGAGGCCACACAAAAAGTATCGTAGCCCATGATGCAGTCCCTGAGTGGAGCTGAAACGGTCCCTCAGTGCTTCTTCAGTCTGAGGGACTTTGAGCTGATCTCTCTGTAGCCTTTTTGATGTAGTGTTAGTGCCGCCATTTCATTCACTTTGTTTGTCATGATGATGGATGGGATGAATGGTCTACACCTTCTCCTGTCAATGCTATAGCAGGACTCCTGTATCCTACCTCTCTACTTGCAAGGAATAGCTGGATGGGAAGTGTTACAACAGAGCTGCTGAAAGTTAACAGCTCATCTCTTGTGTAAATAGCAGGAGTATGGTTGGTCACAAATTGGTAATTTGCGTTGTGTGTACAAGCAGGATGGGGGAAAGAAAATCAAAAACAGAAACACACAGGACATCTTAAACAACTGATTTAAAATCAAAAACTGAAAGCTAAATGGGACCTGCTGAAAAGGGCGGCCTGCTTGAGCAATGCTATCGCAGACAATAAATGATCGGGGTTGTCGAGATAAGGTTAAGAGTGTGATGCTTGAGTCCAATGAACTATTATTTCCAAGTCTACATCTAATTATGTTTGAATAAGGTATCTGCAGAGAAAAAGCTTAAGTGAAAATATGAAACTGACAGAGGTCATCAAAGCTGTAACAGATTTTGTAATACTTAAGCCTTAAGAAGAAGAATGTAAACAATTTTAAGGGGAAGAGAAGCGATGTGGCATCTGTCTACTATTCATAAGGGACCCGTTAATGACAATAACATTTCAGGACCTCACTATAAAATAAGTACACTACCTCGCTAATGGATTTTGTGGGGTTTGCGCCATTGTCCATTCTGTTTTTGGACAAGATGTGCAAAGAAAAAATTACGTCGTCACATGTTGCGGCTTGAATCTAGCACTGACCACAGATCAATAAAGCCACTTTCCCACTAAAAAACTGGGTTTTTCAAAACAGGGTTGACCCGCTAAAAACCGGCTGTCGGCTCTTTTCCCATTTGGCCAAAAAGCAGAGTCTGAGCCCTTGCTGGTAAGCTGTGTGGCCTCTGCCCACCCCACCCCCCACTGTGTGTTTAATGATGGCATCATGTCAGGTGATTGTTTATAATGTCGACATTGCAATGGAAATCAGGGAAGTAAATAATGGAAAGCCACATTGATGGGATCCAGCGCGTAGTCAGTATTCTTTATATTTTCGGTCTTATATCTGTCTGAATCCCTTTCACCAGCAGTATGCCATCTTTTAAATTAGATCAGAAGTGACTGGTGCGGTGTGTTAACGTCCATACATTGCATTCAATTGGCATCACATAATTTAGCGCATAAACCCGGGTCTGGGGTTCCTACAGCCGAGGCAATTTTATCATGGGTGCTTGCCGAGTCGTTTGACCTGGGTAGACACACATCAGTGAGCTGTTCCCACTGTCACTAAAACCCGATTTTTTCCGGATTAAAACGGGTTTTTCAGCCAGTGTGAAAGGGGTATAACAGAAGAAGTTTTTAACTAATGTGTTTTAATTGGGAAAGTTGTAAAGTTCAGTTAGTAATGGCAATGTTGCTTCCAGCCATGTTTACACACATAGGAACATGTGGCAGCTGCCGACATCAGGGACAGCTGATCAGTCATGTGAGTTAAAGTTGGCTGTCAGAGCTGATTCGAAAAAGTGTTTCCATCTCCCATTTTGTGCATTGACCCTTTTTACAAGTGTGAAAAACATACTCAATTGAGCATAAAAACATTTTTCCCAAATTTTTGTGAGTTTGTTTAAATTTTGCTGATACCATCAAATCTTTCTGATGTGATAATTCAAAATGTATATTAGAAGAAGCTGATGGAAATGCACCTTATGTGGACCATCGACTGGTTCTGAAATACAACCATAATGTCATTGTTTGTGTTGGCATGTGTGTGTTAAGGGCTGTGTTATCAAGCATGTGCAAACACACAACTTTGCAGCCGGTTTTGGACATTTGGAAGTATCGTGGCAGAAACTACTGGAGGTGGCTTCAGTGTTATTCACTATTAGAGCTGCTTTCAAATGTTGTAGGTTACACAGTTGCTTTCTTGTGATGGGAACACTAACCGACCAAGAAGTTTGTCGTATGCACTTAAACCCAGCTTTTGTTGGGAGCTGGAGAAGTTCCACCTTCCTCCAGCAGAGTCCGCCATGGATCCTCCTGAGCTGAGCTGCCTGCACACCTGTGACTGATCATCTCATCAGGAGGACCACAGTACTTAAGCTGTCTTCAGACCTTGCCTCAAGGCCGCAGTGTTTAATTAGTTTGGTTAGCACCTAAGCCTAGAACCTCCTGAGAACTTTGTTATCTCTGAGTCCAGTTTGGATTCTAACCTTTTGTCTCTGCTTCCAGGTTACCTGTTTTTCTCCTGTGAAGCTCTGGAAGAGCTTAACCTGCCGAGCCTGCCCTCTGAGCCCAAACCTGAAGACTCTCCTCTGGATTTCCAAGCAGCTCAGGATTTAGAGCTGGGAACTCAAACCAAGGTCAA